ATTGAGCATTGACCCACGCACCAAGAGGTCGCTGGTTCGATTCCTGGCCAGGGCACATGCCCAGGTTGTGGGCCTAGTCCCCAGTGGGGGGCATATAGGAGGTAGCCAATAGATGTTCTCTCTCATCAATGGTTCTAACTCTCTCTCCTTCTTTCTTCCTCTCTCTCTAAAAATCAATAAAGAAAAAAAAAATTTTAATATTTAACTGAGTGCCAGACTTGAATTATTTTATGCATTGTGTCAGTATCAGTTTCACATCAGCTTTACCTAGTTAACTTAGCAAATATTTCCCTTTATTTCATGTATTCATAAAATGTACATTTATGAAACATGGGCTATATCAGGCACTTGGTGTATACAAGGTATACAGTCATGAAAAATAGACTCCTTTCTTTTAAAGTTTACAGGCTGGCATGAAAGGCATGATACAATGTAATAAGTACTATAATTGAGATATGCAAGTGTTTTGTGGAACAAACAAACAAACGCCACCTGGGAAAAGTTAGAAAAGCATCTGTACGAGAGGAATGATTTGAATTTTGAAGGACGTAACAGTCAGAGGTGAAGGAGAAATGTTCCAGGCAGAGATCAGCGGGCACAATGACATACCAAGGTATTGTGATATATAGACTAAGAAAGCAACATTGGTACATTACCCCTAACTAAACGACACTAAACCGCACACCTTATTTAGATTTCACTAGTTGATTTTTTTTTCCCTCGCCTAATGTCCTTTTGCTGTTTTAGGATTTCGTCCAGGGTACAACATTACATTTAGTCTTTCTACCTTACAGCCTCCTCCAATCTCTGACATTTTCCCAGATGACCCTTGTGCATAAGATCTTTATACTTTTGAGGAGTACTGGTTAGGTATTTTGTAGAATGTCCCTCAGTTTGGGTTTGACACTTGTCCTCTTTGGTTAGAATGGGGTTAGGGTTTTGGAGACAAAGACAGGGGTGAAAGGCCATTCTCATACGTTATCAAATGGCACATGCTATCAAGAGGACAGTCTTATCACATTGAGTCAATGTGATAAGGGTAACGTGATAAGGGTAAATGCTACCAACAAGATGTTTCCAAGGATGTTAACTTTGATCTGAGATTGTGTTTGCCAAGTCTCTCCACTCTGAAGGTACCCTCCCACCCACCCTACTCTCTGTCCCTTTTCCATACTCCTTCTTAGTAAAGGACTCACTAAGCAAAGACCACCCTCAAAAGTCAGGGATAGGTAGGCATTAAGCTCCATTTTCTAGGAGGGGACAGTCTCTATTATTTCTAAATTCTTAAAGGAATGTGTCTCCCATTTATTTATTTATCCAATCATTTATCTATATCAGTACGGACCAATTTCAAAGTTATTTATTTCATACTTTGGTGTATAACTCCGCAGTATGTTATAGATTTTGCTGTTCAAGTTGTTCCAGATTTCAGCCATTGGAAGCTCTTTCAAGTTGGCTCCTGTAATCCTTTGACATTTCCCATTCTTTTATTTTTCAAGCACTTCTGTAGCTATGTTTTCAATAGCCAACGGCAGCATTCAGGTATTTTATTATAAAGTTGGCAGAAAACAAAATGTTAATCCCTACACTGTTATTCATTACATACTATCCATGGGTCTAGACATATTTTATTATTTGCAAAGTGGAGAGACTCTCATGTTTAAGGCATTATATTAATTAAGATGTGTAACAGAAGATTGAAGTAGCATGCAGAACCAATAAATAAGCCTCCCTTACAATAGTAACTCACTTAACATTGCAGCTCTTTTTGGATGAGTAATATTAATTCTGAGCTTAAAACGGACTAAAAACGCAAAGAATATGTTTAGGAGTTCTTAAAAGTTGAATTCTTATCTTTTACCTCTGTAAAGGACAGGGTTGCCACCCTCATTTTCATAGCCCTGTCAAGGAAAAGACCTCTGAGCTTAAATTTGCTTTTCATTTCACAAATCGATTTTATCTTCAATGCCATGACCCACTTTTTATGTGTTCTAACATGCACTGTTACCTTAGTAACTACCAAATTACATGCCGTGTGTAGCAGTGTTGATGAAAAAATAATCTTACAAAAGAGTCAAAGAAAATAGAGACCTGATTATGGCTCTTTGATTTTAATGTCCAGAAAGACCTAACACAGACTATTAACTATCACAGACCCTTAAGCCATCGATGTTACCTTCAAACAGACCTACAAATCCGGGAAAAGAATACAGGCTGATTTACAATCTAGACCTTCATTTCCTGCACTGTAAGTCCTCAGAATCCACCCCCCTCCTCAGTGATGTGCAAAGGGAATTTATTCCTGCAATAAAGAGGTGCGAAGCTGTATTCCACTTAGATCTTCTCTAATCTCTGACTTTGGATGTGTTGACTAAATAGTGGGGAAGACACACATGAAACCAGGATAAAGAGGAACATAAACTGGAGGTGAAATGTCCAAACTCAGGTCCACCCAGCAATGTCCAATACTGTACACTGTAGTGGGTTCCTCTGAGGTTCTCTTGTAGCCTTCAGCATGGATGGTTTAAATATAGCCAAGATTTCTTTGAGTTCTGAAAGCTATGATGCTCTGATCAAATTATTCCTTTGCTGATTCCTCCGATGATTGATTCACTAATGGCATGAGTTCCCTAGAGCAACGTGAAATACAGCTGTATCCTCCCACGGGGGCTCTCTGCCCCCAAATGCAACTACCAGAGGCTTGAGTTATCCTCATGCAAAGAGAAATCTATAAATCAAGAGAGAATAAGGATTTTTGAGATGATTACTTTAATCAGTCTGATGTTCAGCCAATTTTGTACAGGATAATACAATTTTGTATTAGTGCCACTGCTTCTCAGAAGGAAGGGTAGGCAGTATCCCTTCTTCCCATTAGGAGCCTATTCTTCACGCCATTCTTTGGAAGCCTAGACCATCTGGAGCTATGCAGCAATGAAGTAGGTTGAATTTTCTTCCATTTTCAACCATACTACTTAGAGCTGTGCTATGGATAAAGCTGTGTGCCCCAGAAATGCATGTGTTGACATTCTATCCCTTAAAACCTCACAATCGTGTCCTCTAACCCCTCAGAATGTGGCCTTACGTGGAAGTAGAGTCATTGCGGATATAATTAGTTACGATGCGGTATTAATGGAGTAGGGTGGGCTCCTTATCCAGTGTGACTGGTGTCCTTATAAAATCCAGAGAAACTTGGGCACAGAACAGGGAGACAGACAGATGAAGACTGGAGCTATGCTCCCCAAGGCCTAGGAACATCGGAACCTAGGAGAGGGACTAGAACAGCAGCTTCCCTAGAGACCTCAGCGGGACCATGGTCCTGCCAATACTTTGATTTCAGACTGTTGGCCTTCAGAACTGGGAGCCAATCCATTTCTGTCATAAGCAGCCCCGTTTGTGACACTTTGTTAGGCAGCCCTAGGAAATCAATACAAGCCATCACACAGGTGAATAGTGTTGGGAGCAGGGGGGATTTCTCTTCATATTGATTTCAGGGGCTGTATTAGTATCATCTTGCCTTACAGATTTGTTTTGCCTATTCCACTGCTTGAGTTGGAACACATGCCAATCAGTGTATTTTTCTGTCGGCTATGAGGCATCTGTTTTCTCATGTGGAGACTTATTACTTACTAGCGGTAGAATGGACCTCACTGATCTTCAGTCCCTGACACTAGTAACACTTGATCCAGTGAGGCATGGGCCTATTTGTGAGGATCCAGTGAGATAAGCAAAAAACACTTCCCTTCTACGTACAGAGGCTCGTAGAAGAGGACGTAATGTACAGCTTAGGATCTGGGACCCTGCAGCCAGGTTTAATGAGTTCAAGTTCGACTCCTCCCATTACTAGTTTTGTGACTAACCTATAAACTCAGTTCCATCGTTTAGAAACGAGAGTTGTAGTATCTGTATCTTAAAGTTGTTGTGACTATTAAATGAATTAATACATAAAGAGGTCTTAGAAGATTGTCCGGCACATGGAAAGTACTCGATAAATGGCATCTAAGAGAAGTACCTTGCAAACTAGAAAGAGCCATACAAATGTTAGGTCATTATAATTTGTAGTTAGCAAATAGCTTATTGGGGAATGCATGTACGCATGGAAAGGTCTGACTTTCTGGCTCAGTATGTATTCTAGCAGCAGCATTTTAAATGGTTAAAAAGAGTAAAAGAGACAATCCAGGATGAGGGCTGTTACCAAGCAGATCAGTTTGCCCAGAGAATCAGAAGAAGCTCCAAACCAGAGGCTATTTGTGGTATTCTTTAGTCTTGCCATTTTTCTCGTGTGAAAATATTGTAGAGCCAAACTTTTAGTTGAGCATCACACTCATTGCTGTAATACGAAGATAAAAAGCAACAGGTTTACGTAGATTTGCCTTGGGCATTCAGAAATGGGAAAGTATTTTTAAAACTGCTTTTAAAAGTTTCTAATAGCACTGGCCGGCTTGGCTCAGCGGTTAGAGCATCGGCCCACGGACCAGGGAGTCCTGGGTTCGGTTCCCGCTAAGGGCATGTACCTCGGTTGCAGTTCGTCCACAGCCCCGGTTGAGGTCTTGTGGGTGGTAACCAGTCGATGTGTCACTCTCGCATCGATGTTTCTCTCTCTTTCTTTCTCCCTTTTTCCCTCCTGCTCTATCTGAAGATAAATGCAAAAATGTCATCGGGTGAGGATTAAAAAAAAAAGTTTCTAATAAAATCTTTGTTTGCATATATTTGACTTGAGATACACTGCTGTCCATCACTTCCATTAATTGACAGTAAATAAAAAATAGCCACTTTCTCACCTTGTTATATACCTCAGGGTGAGTTTTTGTTTTTGTTTTTGGTTAAATAAAAGACTATCATTGGAAAGCACCACTTGCTTCATTTTAGTGTCTGTACTTACAGAGGAAAAAGAAGGATTTTAGCACAAACACCTTATTAGTTTACTCATAGGAAACAGAAACAGCTGAGACGTTTTAAAAATGAATTATGTTATCACATTTATTCAATTTCATACAACTTACCCAGGAAGTATATATTTGGAAGACAGATTGTCTCAGTGCTGTGGATAAGTTATAGTCTTCAGAACTGTGGTGTGTTTGGTGTGCAGCCCACATAATATTAACCTCTGCAAAACACATAATTTGAAACGAGCCATGAGAATAAGAACAAAGCAACTTCCATTCTCAGTTATGCATGCTACTCTGTTGAGTGAGGAAGAAAATCTGGAACATCTCTAAAAAAGCTAGCCAATATAATTATAATTAAAATAAGCTGCCTCAAATCACTTTTGGAAGCAAGGAGGGTATAAATTATAAACAAATAAAAAATTGAAACATAGCCAATAAAGATGTATAGTGTATATTATATAATTAAATGCCTCCAGCAAACTGAAATGACTTCCAAAATGTACACTTTGCTAACATATTACAACATGACAGATCATAAAAGCTAACTGGTAATGTTGTAACAATATAGTCAATGAATAGTGATGATTTTTCAGTATGTGATAACACATTTCTAATTAAAGAAGAATACTCTGATGGGGGAAATTGCTGCATAAATTTTGGAATAAGATATTACATAATATTATTTCCTGATGGTGTTGTAAGAAATCTCAAAGTCTGTCTATTGAAATAAGAGGTAAAGCAGAATAATATCTGTTCTTTGGATTTAAGGTTTCATTTTTATTTACAGAAATATATTAGCTAATAGTTACATATAGTTCTTTTCATGCCTCACCAAAACACTGTGCCATTTCTAAAACTGTCCCACATAATTGCTGTTTGTCCTCATAATAAAAAAGAAAATGTAAATTGTTTATTTTAATCAAATATTATACAAAGTACCATCATAATGCGTTGGAATTCATATATACCCCAAAAACATAGTTGGTTGATTTTTCTACAACAAACATGCCAGTATAGTGACCCCCTAATCATGGAGGAAAACAAGCCCACATTTTCAATCTGTCCATATGTTTCATTTCCTACCAGAATTACAGATCAAAATGCCTCACTATATTATATTCAATTTTTTAAGGATCATGTTCTTAGCTAAACTAACTTAGATTTAGTCCTTTGCTACAAATATTGAAGATAGAATTGACCATGTGATATAATCATTGTATGTCAGTGTGGACTAGAAGTTAAATTTGTGAGGCTTCCTTTCATGGGAACTGAACTGTGAACCCAAGAGTGAAAATTTGGGGTTGTTTTTCTTGGCAGTTGACATGTACTAATAGTTAAAATTAATGGCACATGGCAGAACAATTTGTTAGAGGTTTTTATAAAAATTACAGACATATATGTAATATATACACATATATAATATATATACATATATATATTTAATCTGGGTGGATTTCTTGGCCATTCATTTAGGAAATGAAAGCTCTCTGGACAACCTGAATAGGGAGTTACCAAACAAAAGTTGCAGAACAGTTTTGGTAAACAAACAATAGCTCGGAGATATTAGAAGGACTTGATTCTGTGAGAATAAGAACATTATGAACAGGATTATGAATCAATAGCCCTATCACAAGTCATTTATAGTCAAGTCATGTATTTGCAAATATTTTTATAAACCATCAGTTTATATGTAACTTGGATCCTGATGGGTTGACATTTTAATTACATATAGTAATAACCCCGTATTTTTACCCAAGCGATTAAGAAAATTCTTCTTACACACATAAAAACTACTTCACCATAATGACCCCTAACTTCCCAGGCATAAGCCTTGAAATAACCTAGAAGCCAAGTCTCTGATTTATTGACCAGCCTATAGAGCTACAAATAAGAGATATACAAAGAATCCTGTGGCACTTGATAACTTCAGATGTTATGTGAAAGTTTATTAAGAGGTAATAAATTTGATGAATCTCCTAAGTCTTTTAAAACTTTTTACAGAGTGAGCCCCTGAAGCAATATAACACGATTTTCTCTCTAAAACTCACCCATTCTGGAACATTTCAGAACCCATGACTACAAACTTCATTACAAATAAAATCATTGTCCATTCTGTTGGCCCTTTCAGAGTTTGTTTAAAAAATTCATCATAATGAATCCATGTTATAAGTTCACAAGGGGATAAACTAATCAGATGAGGTTAAATTAGAGGGTGATAAGATTTATTAAAAATACTTCCTTATAACCTCTACAGAAGCTAAATGGTGGAACAAAGAATCCACAAAGGTGGAGGTCAAAGACCTGTCTCTTTGGTTGTTTTAAAAGCATTTACTTCCTATCACAAACTGTGTGTAACACAAGCCTTCATTCAATGAAGTACAGCTGTATAAACAGGGTACAGTAACTGGATCTTACGGCCTTACCTCTGTCATTTTGCAGAACAAGAGAAAACAAGAATATGGGAATTTTTTTCAGTCTCTATTCAGCTTACTTGAAGTAAATAAAAATGGTTATAAAATGTAGCTTATGGAAATTTATTACAATAATGCTTTTGTAAATAAAAACAGAAAAAGTGAATAGTGCATTTGTAAATATGTTTATCTTCCCTAATATAATTATAAGTTGTAGGCCATAACAATTTTCTTTTTCTATAAGCAAATTATTGATTATACAAGCATGTGGTATATTATTATGGCTTTTCAATGACATAATTAGAAACAATGATACTGCTTTCCAACGTCAAAATGTAGATGTGTAGAAACATATTTTATTAATACATTGACCAAATCATTCAATTTGTTTGGCTAAAATTTAATATATTATGTGTATTCATGTGTCTGTTATATTCTTGTGTTTAATTTTTTCTATTTCTTTTTAAGTAAGGTATAATGTACATATAATGAAATCCTTACCTTTTAGTATTTACTTCTGTGAGTTTTTACCAAACAAAGATAGCTGTGTAATCACTGTTACAATCAAGATACAAGACAGTTTTGATTAACCACAAAAGTTCCCCAGTCCATTTTGACTGACTGACTCTAACATTGCTCCCTGTTTAGATGATAAGATTCTGGACTTTGAACTGACAATGTAATGAGATGAAACTTTCAGGGCCTTGGAAGAAGTGAATATGTTTTGAATGTGGGAGAAATATAAATCACTGGGGCTCAGAGGGCTGCCTATGGGAAACAGCCTCTAAGATGGTCCCCAATAATTCCTATCTGTTGGTGTTCATCTTCTACTTAATCCTTCCCCTTGAATGTGAGCTGGATTTAATGACCCCCACCCAGTGAATCTAATTTTGGCAAAGCCAATGGAATGACACTCTTGGTATAATGTTGTAAAAAGACAGTGGCTTATGTCTTGATATCTTGGATGCTTTCTCTTACATTCTCATAAACTTTGTCTGAGGAAAGTCAGGGACCATGTTGTGAGCTGCCCTTTACAGATACATGTATGGCAGGGAACTAGAAGTGGCCCAAATTAACCAGCTAGCAAGAAACTAAACTCCTTAGTCCAAATTCCACGTGCCACTGAATCCTGCCAACAACCATGTAAGAGAATTTGGAAGCAGAAACTCCCCCAGCTTAGCCTTCAGATAACACTGCAGTCAGCAGACAGCTTAACTGCTCAGCTACAACCTCATGAAAGCCCTTGAGCCAGAAGCACTCACATAAGCTGTATCCAGATTTCTGACTCACAGAAACTTGAGAAGCCACTCGTATGTTACAAAGCAGTAGACAATTAATACAGTGGTCAATCACCCTCAACCTCATTCTCAGTACTGGTGTCCACTGATTTGGTTTCTTTCCTATAGTTTTGCCTTTTTGAGAATGCTATATAAATGAACTTTACAGTATTTAGCCTTTTGTGACTGGTTTCCTTCGCTTGGAATAACGCATTATAGATTCCTCCATTTTGCTGTTTATTGGTAGTATGCTCTTTTTTGTTGTTGAGTAGTATTTCATTTGTATGGATATACCACCATTTTCGTTTTTTTTTTTTTTTTATATATTCATTCAGCAGTTGAAGAATATCTCAGTTGTTCTACTATTAGGCAGTTACAAATAAAACATCCAAATATGTTCTAATACAATTTTTCTGTGAAAATGTTTTTTATTTCACTTGGGTACAATACCTAGAAGTGAGATGAGTGAGCTAGGTGGTATGTTAACATTTACTTAATTAAGAACTGATTTCCAGAACGGGTGTGCCTTTTTGCATGACCACTAACAGTGTATTAGAGTTAAATTTGCTTCACATCTCTGGAAGCACTTGACATTATTATTTTTATTAATATGTATTTATTTTATAGCATTCTAATAGATGTGAAATGGTAGCACATGGAAATTTTAATTTGCAATGCCATAGTGACTAATGGCAATAATTGATCATCTCTCCATGTATTGATCTGCCATCTATAAGTCTTTTTTGAACTGCCTATTCAAAATTTGTGCCCACGTGTTAAAGGAGTTGATTTTTATTATTGAATTTTGAGGTGTCTTTACATATTCTGCACACAAGTCCTTTATGAGATATGTGATTTGCAAACCTTTTCTCCTAGTCTGCAGTTTGACTTTTCATATTTTAACAATATTGCATGAAGAACAAAGGTTTTAATTTCTATGTAAATCTAAGTTGTATACATGAGAGTTTTGTGAAAAAATATTTTCAGTGTATCAAACAAAGAATGGACAATTTTGGAGAATTTTTTCAGAATGATGAGAAATGTATAGGGTTTAGAAACTAAGAGAGTCTATATATATTATGTACCTAAAATATATCCACGTAAGTCTCTTGTCTCATACCTTGTCAGCTATGGAATGGAGAGAAATAACTCTTTAGAGTAACCTGAGACATAAACACAGGTCTGCAAGGAACTTTTACAACTATATGATAGCTATTTAATTTTTAATCGTGGATAAGCAAGGACGTTTTGAGGCATCTTTGGGGTGATGATTCTGCATTCACTCAGAATTTGGAAAATCCTCAAGTTATAAAGGAAAAAATATTACAGGCATATTTGCAAAATGATAGTGATGCTTGGCACCGAGAGAGGCATGTTAGAAACACCTTAGGCAACATTTAGCATATTGTGTAGTGACTGTGGAACATGAGAACTGTAGAGTCCTTTAGTTCATATTTTTAATTTTATAAATAATAAAAATGAAATTAAAAGGGGAAAGGAAAAAGAATTTCATTTAAAGAGAGAATGCTT